CCCCAAAACCCCAAAACCCCAAAACCCCAAAACCCCTAAATTCCGACCTCTAATTGGATAAAACATTTTTTAATAAAATAGTTAAAATTAGGTATTTAAATTAGAAATGGACGATTCCTTAATATCCAAGAGCGATTCTCCAAAAGACCGTGTGCAGTACTCCAAGCCTGGAATTCTCTCACAGCTCATGTTCAGCTGGGTCACACCTCTAACTAAGGTACCCAAAGGGTATTTATTAATATAGATCGGACAACAAGGGAAATTAGAGATATCTTCTCTAGGCAGTCTTCCTCATGAACTTTCTGCTAAGCAAAATCATGAGAAATTCCAAGCAGTGTGGGATAGTGACAAAGCTGAGTACACTAGAGGTTATTCTAAGGTTCTCAAATGCATAGTCAAGATATACAGGAAAGAGATCTGTCTTAGCCTCGTCTTCAATTTCATCCACATGTTCTTTAAAATGGGTTGCCCCATTCTGATTAAGTTAGTTGTGGACTATATGAAAAATCCAGTTGAAGATGATGGCGGTCTTTACTATGGCCTCGCTCTCGTATTTGGATACATAGCAGTAGATGTCCTCGGATTTATACTAGAGGAACAAGCCTGATTCTACCAAATGATTTTAGGTAAAGCCTACGATTTATAGTTTAGGTGTCAAATCAAGGAGTGCAATTTTATGTAAGTTTATGAATTCTAAAGCTATAGCGATGATTTACTCCAAAACATTGAAAATCAGCCATACTGCGAACAAAGGATTTAATCAAGGAGAGATTGTAAACTTCATTGATTTAGACTCCGATAAGATTATCACCCTGATGTGGATATTTCCCCAAGTAGCAAAACTACCAATGGCATTATTCTTTGCCTGGGGTCTTCTGATTTATTTCTTTGGAGTGTCGATGGTAGGATCTATCTTTATCGGAGCATTCATGTTTCTGGTAAATTATCTTCTTGCCTTCTGGAATGCATCTATACAGAAGAGGATCCTCACTAAGAAAGATGCCAGGATGCAGTACACAACTGAAAGCATTAATAACATTAGAGCAGTAAAGCTTGGGTTGATTTACAAATATTTCTTTTAATAAAATCCAACAAGCTAGAAAAGAAGAGGTGTTTCTCTTGAAGATCAAATTCTTTATTGAGGCTTTAGAGCTATTCTGCTTAGTTCTGACCTCTCCTCTTCTGATTCTCTCAGTATTTTCAATCATGTTCTGGCTTGGTAAAGATCTAGAACTCTCGATAGCCTTTGTTGGGATACAGATGTTCAGTAATCTTCAGCATCCTCTTGAGTTCATTCCCCAATTTGTAAAAACGATCATTGAGTTTAATTTATCAATGGAAAGAATATATAAGTACCTAAACTCTGAGGAGAGTTCACCTCTAGCAATGTAATAGCACTGTATAATTCTCTAGAACTTACAAATCAGAAGAAAAACCAGCTATAACTTTAAAAAATTGTAGTTTCGCATGGGATAAACCAGGAAATCAATCAAAGCAAAGTTCTTCAGGCTCTGAAGAAGACAAAAATATTGAAATGGAACCTCTGAACAAATCTGTCACTGTTGATCAGAGAAATAAAAAGTTCAGGCTCTCCAACATCTCGTTTGAGATCTTCAGATCAGAGCTGATCTGAATCATCGGAGAGGTCGGAAGTGGGAAATCCTCCCTCCTCAGTGCTATTCTTGGAGAAATGTGGGAAATAGGTATATTTCCTCTTGAATATTTTAGAGAACAAAGATCTTTCAGAATTTTCAGATCAAATCCAAAGCAATCCTTCCATGAAAGCTAACCAGCAAGTTCTTGAAATCTCTGGAAGTATCAGCTATGTCCAGCAAAACCCCTGGATTCAGAACAAGACCATTAAGGATAACATCTGAGGGTAAGCTTTTATCTAAAAATAGACTAACTGATGAGATCTATGAGGAAGAATTTAAGAGGAATAGCCAAGAATATGATGAAGTTGGTACGTATTTTTTATTGCTTATTTTAACTAAAATAGTCAAAATATGTCAGCTACTCCCTGATTTGGATATTCTCCCATCGAGAGATCACACGGAGATTGGAGAGAAAGGAATCAATCTTAGTGGTGGCCAGAAAGCAAGGATAAGCATAGCGAGAGCTATTTATGCAAATAAAGATATTGTGTTGCTAGATGATCCACTTTCTGCATTAGACTCAACAGTGAAGGGGGAAATACTTGACAAAGTAATCCTGACTAAACTCAGAGAGAAAACAAGAATCCTAGTTACTCATGATGTATCTGTTCTACCAAAAGCTGATAGAATCATCGTTATGGATAAAGGTGAAATTAAATATTTCGGTTCTTTTTCTGACTTAAAAGAGACCACAGATTTTCATTATATCAATGAAATCTTAGCCAAAGCTGAAGAAGAAAAAGAATCTGAAAAGACTTCTCAAGATGAAGACATACCTTTAGAATTTGAAAAGGATAAGGAAATCATAAAAGATAAATTGATGAAGGACGAAAATGAAGAGACTATAGAGTCTGGTTGGAGTATCCACAGCCACTTTTTCTTTAGTGAATGTAGTTGGGTTATTTATCTCATCCTGATCCCCATATTTGTGGGAAAAGCATATTTCATGATTTATTCAACTTACTACCAAGCGAAGTGGGTTGAGGATCATGAGCAAAGTCCTCCAGGCCAAGAAAACGACAAATATTGGTTCTATTTTACAATGTGATTAATCTATCCTGTTTCTTATTGAGTTATTTTCTTTGTGAAATATCTCTTGATAACACTTACATCAGTAAATAAGACAAAGAGGATACATAAGAAGATGATCAAGAGAGTGCTAAATGCCCCTATAAACTTATACTTTGATACTACTCCTTCGGGTTTAATTCTAAACAGATTCTCTAATGATATGTCAGCAATTGACAAGCAGTTACCTGAGTAAGAGAAGTGTCTTATCATATAGTAATGTGTCTTCACTTTTATCCCTAATTACTTGAGCTGCCTTCACGATTTACATCGCAGCAATGAATACAATATATGTTCTATTTTTAGTCCCTGCAATATTACTAGCCTGTTACCTGCTAGTAAAATACTATATGCATACTTACAGAGAGGTTTCAAGGCTCGAATCAATAACTTCTTCTCCAAGGATCACCAACCTGAGTGAAACTTTGACTGGAGTTTCAACAATTAAAGCTTTCCAGAGAGAAGCTGCTTTTATGAATCTGAACTATTCTCTACTGAACAACCATGCAAAAGCTCATTTTTGGCAAATATCGATGAACAGCTGGGTAGGAATCAGGACCGAATTCTTATCAATGGGAATCCTGATTTTCACCTCTGTCTTCTGTGTAAGAGACTTCTTGTTGAGCCTATAGGTTGTATACAAATCATACACTGATCCAATCTGGGTTGGAATCCTCTTTTCTCATTTTCTCTGGATGACTGCAGATATTCTGTATGCAATCAGATGATTTACCGAACTTGAAAGTGACTTTGTGAATTATGAAAGGTACTTGGAAAATTTTAACTAATAGATGCTTGAATATGCTAGAAATTTGTCAAGAGAAAGATCATGCATCTGAGCCCCTTCAGAGAAATTTTGTTGTTGACCAAGCCAGTATTGAATTCCAAAACTATAGCGTTAAATATCGTCCTGACACAGAACTAGTGCTGAAGAACCTTAATTTCAAGATTTATCCCAAGGAGAAAGTAGGAATCATAGGAAGGACAGGAGCAGGAAAATCAACTATCTGACTTTCACTCTGCAGAATAATAGAAGCATATTCTGGTAGAATCCTGGTTGATGGTCAAGACATTTCCAAAATCTCTTTGAATGATCTTAGAGCCAATATAGCTGTCATTTCTCAAGATCCATCACTTTTCATAGGCACTCTAAAATTCAATATTGATCCTGAAGGAAAAATCAGAGATGGAGAGATGAATGAGGCGATCAATAATTGTTCTCTTCAAGATCTTGTGAATAGAGATAGTCTGGGCTTAGGTAGGAAATATATTAAAATCTTGAAATTGCTAATTTTCAAAACAATACAAATTGTAGTATTTCTTTATAAATCCTGATATGTTAAGCATAAATAGTAAAAAAAATTATCAGCTTTTGGAAATAAAATAATTTTGACTTTTCTAGACCAAACCATTGAAGAATCTGGGAAGAATTTATCAGCAGGAGAGAAGCAATTAATTTGAATTTGTCGTGCTGTTTTGAAGAAGTCTAAAATTATCATCATGGATGAAGCAACTGCAAACATAGATGTTAAGACTGAATCTGCTATTCAGCGTGCTATGGCTTTATATTTCGAGAACCTTACTGTGATCACGATTGCTCACAGACTAAGCACTATACAGAAATGAGATAAGATTCTTGTGCTTGAGTCAGGTTCTTTAGTAGAATACGAAAGCCCTCAAGTTCTCCTAAAAAATCCAGATTCCTATTTCTCAAAAATCTTGAATAGCTAAAAATATCAATTTCCAATCAAATCAAAAACACTAGGGGTTTTGGGGTTTTGGGGTTTTGGGG